GTAGCTGTGTGGGTATATCAATAAGAAAGACACACAGTTCTGAAGAAGTTCCTCATTTCCGAGCCCTGCTTGTGTGAAGACTGTTTACTTGATCTTGTGAATAGAGGTATTATTACCTGGAGCATCTGTATCTCATATGGTACACAGTAAGGGAGCTGTTTCTCATAAAGTGCAGATAAACACTTACTTGATGAATATTGTGGCTGTAGTCTAGCAAGGCTGAAGGAGAAGCTAGACTTGACAGCTGAGCTGATGCAATAGCTCATGGCTGACAGGAAAGAGTCCTACCCATTCCTCTCTGTGGAACCTTTTTTAGGTCCTGCTCCCCTAGTGACCCAGTCAGATGACTTAACCGGTAGTAAATATTCCTTTTATATTTTCTGGGTATGCTTTCCAGGAGATGCCAGAATCAAAAATAAAAAAAAAACAAACAAAAAGGCACAGGATCTTATGATCTGGAAAGGGATCAACCCATCTGGCTAACACAGGAGGTAAGCTCAACTTGATTGTCATCCCCATGTCTGGCAATGCCGGCATGACAGAGAGGAGGGGTGTGTTGTGGAGGGAGGGATCAGGCTCCCACATTCCCCTGCTGTACACTACCTCCAACTTTTTGTCCTCAGCATCCTTCTAGTGAATGAGGTGCAGAAGGTAAAGCATGCAGAAAGACAGAAAAACTCCAGAGTACCTTTCATAAATCTGTTTATTTTAAATGGGTTCTTGCTTGTGCTGTTTGAATTCTACTTGAAGAACACAGCAAGAAGCCAGTTTCTCCAACAGCTCTGGCTACCACCTGGGAAAAAAAAAACTTGCAATAGGCTGTGGTGCAAGTAGGGTTCCTCTCCCTGCTGTTTATGGCTGGCAGGACAACAATACAGGGGTCATCTTGTGGGACCAATGAGAATTATTATAAAGGAAAGCAAAATACCCAGTAAAAGCAACATCTGCATCAAGGTCTTCACAGAGAGCTTCAAGCTCTCTTCATGTTAGGTTGGAAGGTGATCACTACTCATTGCTCTCTGCATGGTATCTGTGAATTCACATTCAGAACACTGCTGTTAGTACTGAAACTGTGCTATTGTGCTACTGTCCAGAGTTTGTTCAGTGTCACTTCAAGATGAGAGGTATGTGTCAACACTGCCTTCAATATTAAAACTCTTCAAACTATGAGATGCTGAAGCCTTAGGGTATTACACTAATGCTACGTGCTTCACACAGATCATTGGGAAGATATAACCGTAGGTAACTGACAACTTCTCTCCCTCCTTTCCATCAAAAGACTGCAAGACAAGTCTCTGTTCTGTCCCTTCACCAGCTTTGGCAATGGAGAAGACACCTTAGTAAAAACAGCAAGTCAGCAGGGTCAAGCAATGGCACAAAGAAAAAGAATTCTTAGGTTTATCTTTTTGCTGCTTGCTGGAAACAGCAGGTTTAAGAACAAGTCTATCCAGAAGAAAGAGATCTACCTCCAAATGCTTGAGAGAAGGAAAAGTATTTTGTCCTCTTAAGAGATCTAGACTCCAGGACCTAAAAATATGCTCAGTGAAACTATGTTATCAAGGCTGTGTTACAAATACAGGGTAGTAATGTTCTTGTCCTTCTCTGCCATAAGTAATTCTTGAGCATTAGCAGCCTCCAGCATAAGCAAACAAAGAGAGAACAGCAGTTCAGCCCTTAGAAAGGGGGGCAGATCAGCTGGAAGTTAAGTTTACAGTCATCTGGGCAAAGAGCTAGAGGTTAAGCATGCATACATTTCAAATCTGAGACTGCTCATGAAAGACCAGCTGGCAGCTAAATGTTTTCCTGAAGCTTCCCACAGGAAGAGAAGGAAAATATCCTCCTTTTGTCTGGCAAAACTAATCACTGTAATCAAAGCTGGAGTTTAAATGGCTTGCAAAACTGTTCCCAACTTCCAGGGCTGCCAGCCCCAAAGCACTGAAGAGTCATGAATCAGGTCCCACCAAGATCAAGTCTTTTCTTGCTGAATTTTGATCACTTACGAATTTATATTTAGATGTGTTCCTCTGTGATAAGGAGAACTCAATACTTTGCTGTGACTTGTAGTTATCATAAATATAAAAATCAAAGCAACCCATGACAGCTGTTTGAAGAAAGCCTGAAAACAAATAAATTCAAGAATGCAGAGGAAAGAAAACCCGCAGTGACTGCAAAGACACTTTCAGCAAATATGCTGGTTAGGTAAACAGGAGTCCAAGCAGCACATAAAACTGAAATGATCTGTATAAATAAGATAATCAAAACATATTTTCACCCACATCTCACAGGTAGAGATCTAAAGAAGCTCATGAATTTTATTCCACTGCTGCTCTTCTGGACAATGAGAGCACTCTTGGAATAACAAGTGAGCTCTACACAGACCTGAGATGCTGTGGATGATCACAGGAATGAAGGTCAGGAAAGAGGACTAAACCAGACCACACTTTTCCATCAATCCACCTGATCTTCCCTCCCAGGCTACTCATCCATTCTATGCCATGCTGTCAGTTTTTGGCATGTAGGCATGTGTTTCCAAAGGTAAGTGGCAGGGCACTGGAAGAACCTCCCTTCTTATATTTCTCTTTCTTCCCACTCTCCAGCAATGTCTGCAAGCGTGTTCAAGAAATAATTTAGCTAAAGGACAGAGAAAATACTCTAACAGAAAATTAATACAGTAATATAATTACTTAACAGACAGTTAACATCTCAAGCCACGTTCAAGCATCCCAGCTTGCAAACACAGTATCATTCTAGATTGGCAATGCCAATCCATCTTGTCTTCTCCATTCAAATCCCATGTACCTGGCCAAGTGATACTCTCATTTCCTGAATGGAGGCCATTCGTACAGACTTTTAAACCAGGATAAAGTTTCCTGACATGGTATCATCCCTCCAGTGAAAAGCAAATGTCATCCTTTTCCCTTTACTGTTCTTCCCCAACTCACTCCGTGCAACCACTCTTAAACAGTAGTCCTGGCAAGAAGATTTCTGTTCAGGTAGTGATTCCGTTTTGGACAAGTCTTCAGATAAACTTCAGCACTGTGTTGCCTCTGTGGTATACTTTAAAACAGGTTGCATGCAAAAAGATCAAAAAAAAGTGGGGTAACAAGTGTTATAAAGGGGACTGAAGTATTTGAGTACAACATGACAGGTGTGTTAAGAATAATATGGATGGTCTTTTGTACTGGATATATACTCATGTGCTCTGGAAAAAGGAAGAACACCACACACTAAACACCACTACCTTCTAGCCTCCAGATTACTATTTCAGATTTGAAGTCTTACTCAAGCCATTAATTTTAGCAATGAATTGCTCCTAAAAGGAGATTTTGGTATGTTTCAATCTTGCAACACCTTTTAAAACTAAAGAACAAGAAGGTAACGTCCCCTGACATTCCCACATCTTGTATCATTGTTCACAAAACCGTATGGAAAGACTGTAGCATAATTAAAAGATCTTTAAGGTTTTCCTCCTTAGGAGTAGGATCAGTCTAGACTAAATCCTTAAAGGAAGTTCAAAGGCCACACACACACCTCTCATGGTAATCACATATACCAGGGAGGCACATTATCCGAATTGAGTCAGACCTATTTGTCTGTGGGCCTGAAACAGTAGCAGATGTCAAGTACAGAGCAGAGTTAGGCACAGACCGAGCAAATGGCTGGAAATGAGGATAAGGCAGAAACTCATCCCCCAAAGTATGTACAGTTTAAATGATTAAACATCCCAGGGACTTTGGGGAGACATGGGTTTTTACCTAGCAAAACAGTATCTGAGAGCATTTCACATCACGGCTCACCAGAAGGCAGCTGCGGCTCAGACTGTGCAGCTGTGTTGGGCACAGCTCTGTGGACATCCTTCACTGAAGTTGTGACACAAGCAGCAGCTTCTTTACTCCTGCAGTGAATAAGAGCTTTACTGCTGCAATGACTGGGGGTTTAAATTGCATTTGTGAGAGACTGTCTGCAAACTGTCCTCCAAACAAGCGGCCAGTGTTTCCAGGACAGGTTTCCCCATCTCCTGACACCTTTATTAGTCTCTTCAGTCTGCAGAGAACTTCCTGTCAGATTACATACAATCAGCACAAACAGGTCTCCTTGCCTGGAGCAGTAAGTGGCCCTATGGAGCTAAGCCATGCAGAAAACCCAGCCATGCTACTGAGTTTTCTCCACGCTGCTCTTGAACACCTCTGCACTGCTATCTCTGCACACATGTAAGAGCCCAATAAGGAAGCAGAGAGAGACACGCATACCACAAGGAAGAATTTATAACAAAGTTCTCTGGCTCTTCATGATAGTCATCTAAGGGAAACATCAATTTTGTTTACCACTGTGATGTGACATTTCACAGGCCACATCATATCCCTGCATACTTACCTTGATATATAACTGTCATTTTCAAGCCTCAGGCAGACAGCAGCCTTGCAGACAACAAATCCATGACCCCAGCTTCCATCCTGTTTATAGCATGTTGCAATGCTTTCTCAGAAAATGAAATATTTAGTAAAAGAAATGAAGAAAAAGCAGGTACTTTATTCAAGAGCTGATGGTCAAGGTAGGACAGCTCAACTACAAGCACTGCCACTGAAAATAATGTCACTATGAAAAAGCACATACACCAGGCTTAATTTGCATCCAACATGGCTCAGCAAAAATTTATGAGGAAAGAAAATCTGGTTAGCACAGTGATGCTGCATTTCTGGAGCCTGTTCTCTAGAGAGCAGGTTCAAATACATAGCAGCCACAGCCTTTTCTCGTTATTGGTCTCATACACTCCCAAGGCCTCTGCAAAAATCAGACATGCCCAGTGCTCAGAAGGATACCCATCATTAATAGTAAGTCAATCACAAATCACATCTGAAGAGTTTTCCCAGGGCTGCCCAGGAAACCTTGCATGCATCTGCTTGTACTATACAGTACTAAATCTGTGGGGATTTTACTATAGGAAAAACACACCACAGGGTTTTTTTTTGTTTTGTTTTATTGTTTTGCTGGGTTTTTTTTAAAGCCTTCTTCCATGTGAAAGTCAGCTTTTATGAGGTGGGTATGAAGCAATCTAGTCAAACCCTGGTCTGCACAAAGGCAGTGGGTGCCAATACTCCCCTTTTCCTGGGAGCAGGATCATTGCTTTAGCCAGTAACAGTCTCCCAATAAAGGGCATGAAACTGTGCAAGAAGAGAGAAGAAACAAGTTGTGAAGTCATATACAACAAAGTAATTCCTCTTAGTTCAGGTGTGCCTCTAGAAGCAGGCAGCACAGGGAACAAAAATACACTTAACAAAGGCCACCACAAACCACTCCAGTATGCAGGATGACAGCGTGAGCTGGTGTCCTAAGGTTATAACCAAGCGCACGAAAGGCACCTCAGGCGAGAGAGCTCCTGTCACTACGGCCTGCACAACAGGGTTTTAGTTTTTCAAGCCACGTCTCGCAGAACCCCCGGTGCTGGCGCGGACAGCTGGGCTCCGGCAGCAGCCGCTGGCTGGCAGCACGCCGGCAGCACCACGCTACTGGGTCGTCTCTCCCGGGATCTGGGCTGGATCCGTTCTGGGCCGCGGACTCCCCCCGCCGCCATCCAGCATGTTCCGTCCCGGCAGCCGCAGCTTGCCTAATAAGGCCACACGCGAGTTGACTGGCTGGCGGGGAGGTCACCCAGTGTTTATACCTTGCGCGGCGGCAGCTGGAGCCTGCCTGCCTGACCACCTACCCACCAGGCCCCGCTGGCCCCCCTCAGCCGCTGGGCACCGCCAGCAGGGCCTGCCCCTCGGCACCATCAGCCCCGGAGCTCTGGCTGCTCCCACGAGGGAGGGTGAGCTCAGCCAGTAACTCGCTGCCGAGGGAGATGTACTTCGGTTATACCAGAGGCAGAGCGAAAGTGCAGCGAGTTCAGGTACAGCTTTTCGCCGCAGCACATTTTAGGACCAATAGGCTGGAAAAAATAATCAGGTTTCTCGCTGCATGAGTTGCTTGAAAGTAGGGCAGCAGCGCGGGGATAAACAGCCACCTTCACAGTGCCGAGTGGCTGACAGGTACTTGTCAAACATCAGAACCAAGGGAACTAGATGAAAGCAAGGTGCAGATACTCATCTGAACACTACTACTTAATTATTTAATGCTTTTTATCACTTACGGTAAGATTCACTGCAAGTCAGACAGGTGGCTTCAAAAGTAATGACTTACTGTCCCCAAAATAGCTGTATCTAGCAAAAAAACCCCAACCCTTGCTTCTGCTGTTCACTGTCTCTGCTGTGATTCAGACTAGTTTTTCCTTTATACCTTAAGGTAATCTCAAGATGCTCGATTTGGACCCCATCCTATTCTCTTTCCCAGCACAGAGTCTACTAGGAAAGCCGGGAGACCGCACCCTGGTTAGAGCCGGCAGAGAGAGGAGAGCCGCACAGATCACCCCCTCCAAGCGCTGCTCAGAATGGCTTTTTCCCTGCAGGTCAGTACAGGCAGTGCATTTCTGTCCTTTATTCCCACCCGTGACTGGCACTGAACAGTAAAATACCAGGACAGTTCGGATGTTACTTGTACCTTGATATTTCTAAAATTGGCATCCAATTTCGTAAGCACTTTGCTGTCTTCAATGAAGCATCCCCAGTGAGGGCAAGACCAGAGGAGCTGGCAAGACTGTCTCCAGGCAGCAGGGACAGGCACAGGGAGTACAGGTCTATGGGAGGTTGCTGGGCAGCAAACTATCCTGCCCATAGTCCTGGAGACTTGTAGTTCTTGTATTTTGTAAACTCCATGTCTTAGCTTCTCAGTACTAGCAAAACGATACCACCCTGCTGGGTATTTAAACCCTGTAAGGCTTGAATACCTGCCGAACACTATGAGATATAACAGTACATCTACCTGATATTTCTCACAGCTAGAAAAATCTCTTAACACACAGGGAGTAAAACTAAGCTGTGATTATCACCCCACTGAAAGAAATCAAACTACCACAGTTATGTCCTGTTTGTTCAATGAACCTGGGGTTCACATGATTATAATTAAAAGCATTAACATCTATGGCCAAATCACTCAATAGTGCATGTTTAAAAATGCAGCTGGGAATCATGCTAACAGTTTGGAGGCTTATTATTTTGGGATGAAGCTCTGCCTAGATGCACACACAGATCTTGGCTCAGAACTGCTGATTTTCTGCTCAAAGTCTATTCTCACCAAATACATGCTTCAGGAATACAAAGAAGTTGGGCACATGCATTCAGAAAAGGGCCAGTCAGACACAATTATACACAAGTAGTCCTAAAATAAGCTAATTTGCTTTGTGTCCCATTTGCTTAGATCAGCAGCACAGTATGCTCTTATGACTATAATCAATAATGAATGCTGCAGGAAACTAAACAACATATTAGGAATGAGATAAACTCAGTCATGGGTAGCAAGGCATTAGAACAGGTTGCCCAGAGAAGCTGTGGCTGCCCCATCCCTAGCAGTGCTCAAGGCCAGGTTGCACGAGGAGCAACCTCATCTAGTGGGAGGTGTCCCTGCCTGTGGCAGGGGGTCGACAGTAGATCTTGAAGAACCCTTCCAACCCAAATAGTATATAATTCTATGTGCACTAGACCTGTTAACAGAGTTTTAGGAAGAAGTCAGGATAACCCTGAACTATAGAAGTCAGTCAACACTTCACAGACATACAGGCTGGGATGAGAGAAAACCTACTGGGCTTGCACTACCTGCTAGAGGAAAAAGGTTCACCCATTTGTTTCTAGTCTCTCAGAGCGAGAGACACTGACAAACTCCTTTCTTAAAAAGGAGAATGTCAATAAACTTGGGCACACCCAGGAAAAAAAAAAATACTGACACTCTTACAGGTGACACAAGTTAATTTAGGACTGTTTGTGTGACTGCACACTAACAGTTGCTTTCAAATGCTTCTATGCTTTGTTTCAGTTTTAATCTTAAACAGGAGGTAAAGTAACAGTTGACTTTTCTCAATTCTAACACTCCATTTTCCATCTTTGCTCACAGACATTGAAAATTCCAAAGGACAGGATTGAGGAAGGAACTCCTGGGACATTTTAGAAACACAGCAGTATCTCCTCCACTGTGCTAAAGATGGAAAACAATGAAAAAAAATAGCATTTTTTAATCCATATTCTGAATACCTTATATGCAAAAGAACACCTAAGCAATAGGGAAGTCACCCTCACAAAGCAGAATGGCTTTTTCATTCCTCTACAATGCACGGTTTTGTACTCAGTTATACCTGTCTGGTGCAAAGCTACCAAGTAAAGTTCTTTCTCGAGGAACAGGGCAGAAATGTAATTTTGGCAAAATCTATGCATATCAAAGGTGATGCTGAAAGAACAGAGTAGTGGCTCACATAACTACTTAACTTTTAAATCAAAGTTGAAGATTTTTTTCCTCATACACTCCCCCAAACAGGCCACTTCCTCAGTAACCTTACAGGAGTCAACTGCCACCCCAGCCTTTAGTCACACGAGAGGAAATACATCTACCACATAATTGACAATCACCTGCTGCAGGCACACATTAACTGAGAAAACAGGAGGGGTTTCAGTGAGGTAACAAAGAGGTGTTCTTCCTGGTGTATAGATGGTCAGTTCAAGCTCAAAAGCAAAACCATCAGGACTTCGTTTAAATGAAATGTGGTGAGCAGAGAAACAGCTTACAAATGAAAGAACAAGGGCAGCTACTTGGGGAGCCAGGAGATCTGTTACAGTCTAGCTTTCTGGAACCACCGTGGGAAAATATAGAGGACAGCCCCCAATGCTGGTGCAACCTTGATGCCTGTGTGATGGCTGGAAGGGAAATGCATGGGCACACCACACCTTTTACTGTCACAGGGAAGGAGCTCAGCTCTACTTACCCCAAATTTCACGCATCTTCCTGAGACTAGGCTGCCATTCCAAGCTCTACTCCTTTTAGTCTCCTAGCTCTCATCACTGCCAATCCCCCTCTCCTGATTTTATTTCTGCTGACCTCTGCGTACTTCACCTTCCTCCTCCACCCCATACTAAGGGTAATCAGACCACACTCATCAGTATCGCTAAATCTACCTCTACTTCTACAAATCTCTACAGTATCTCTCCACATCTACCCCTAGCTATTCTCAGGCTCTCACTGCAGATTCTTCCATCAGAGACCCAGTCCCACCTCACTGGCTCTCTTTGCTCACTCTACCCCTCCCTAAACCAGGCCACCTAACGGAGCACAGTTTTGGTTTCCTTCTCCAGGAGGCTTCAGTAAAGGGCTGCCTAATTTAGCAGAGTTAGAATCATAAAATCATATGATTTTATCATATCATATCAACTGATCTGGGTTGGAAAGGACCTTCAAGATTATCTAGTTCCAACCCCTTGCCACAGGCAGGGACACTTGCCACTAGACCAGGTTCAAAGCCCTGTCCAACCTGGCCTTGAACACTGCCAGGGATGGAGCATCCACAGCTTCTATGGGTGACCTGTGCTAATGCCTCACCAACCTCACAGTGAAGAACTTCTATCTAGTCTAAATCTACCCTCTTTCAGTTTAAAGCCATTCCCCCTTGTCCTGTCACTACATTCCCTGGAAATAATCCCTCTCCAGCATTTTTTAGGCGCCCTTTATGTACTGGAAGGCTGCTCTAAGGTCTTCCTAGAGCCTTCTCTTCTCCAGGCTGAAAAAGCCCAGCTCTCTCAGCCAGTCTTCACAGGAGAGGTACTCCAGCCCTCTAATCATCCTTATGGCCCTCCTCTGGACTTGCTTCAACAGGTCCATGTCCTTCTTATGTACTTGATATTTACTCTCTCCTCTACTACACAAGATCTGGACACTGGAAACTAAACCTGCATTCATGAGACCTGAACCAACCTGGGGCACACAGAGCACACTATGGAGCAGGCCAACAACTGAAGTGCAATAGCGTAAGCATATACTGATAGTCTTGGACATTTTTCTTTTGCAGGTAAATTTCCTTCACCAGTCAACTTGTCTGTCCCATGAATAGCATTCCTTCACCAGTCAACCTGTCTGTCCCATGAATAGCATCAAAGGAACGCTGTGCTGTTTGAAGAGAGCCACTGAGCATATGTAATGGAAAAAGAAAACAGGCATCACTTAAAGAAAGGCCAGGCAGTGTGATCAAATCAGAGTTGGAAAGAATGAAGGTCTCCCTAGATGTCTTGATGGTCACTGGCTATTAAAGTAATATACTAACAACCAGCTACGTAAAGGTGCTAGACTAGGTCCTTGCAAGGCAGGCCTTACAACTCAGGTTTTGAAAATACACCTGCAGTAGTATTTGTCTAAAAGTGAAGCAAAACCACTGCTGAGGAATCCTGTATTAAAATCGGAGATGTGCACAATACAATGCTTCTTAGCCAGCAGGACACAGTGGGGCACAGCCCTGTGCCAGCTGATGCTACAAAATCATCAGTCGCTAGGGGCCTGTCATGTGTGAGCACAGTCTAGCACTGAGCCAAGTGTTCTGCTAGCACAGATGAGGCAGCAATATGTTCAGCTGCTGCAGGAAGACAACACTCAGGAGGGCTGCAAAAGCCAGCAGGGAAATGGGGCAAGTTCTGCAGCAAGACTTCTGTTTACTACTCACAGTTCTCAGGGGCAATAGGATCACAGAATCATGGAATACCAGATTGGAAGGGACCTCAAGGATCATATGGTCCAATCTATCTTAGTCTTTCCTGTCCAGATGAATCTTAGAAGTGTCCAACATCTGGGAATCTGTCACTTCCCTAGGGATATTATTCCAGTGGCTGATTGTTCTGAGTGCAAATAAATTTTCTCATATCTGATCAGAATCTCCCCAGGAGTAGCTTGTGCCCATTACCCTTCCTCTTTTCCATGTGACTCCTTGTAAAAAGGTAATCTCCATCTTCTTTGTATCCAACCTTTAAATACTGGAATACGGTGATAAGGTCTTCCTTCAGCTTTCTTTTCTCAAGGCTGAACAAACCCAGCTCTCTCAGCCTTTCCTCATATGACAGACTTCCCAGTCCTTTGATCATCTTTGTGGCCCTTCTCTGGACCCTCTCCAGCCTGTCCATGTCTCTTTTTGCATAGGAGGAACCAAAACTGGACACAGTATCCCAGATGTGGCCTGACAAGCACTGAGTAGAGTGGGATAATGACATCTCATCTCTGCTGGTGATGCCCTTGTTGATGCAAGCCAGCATCCTGTTAGCTGTCTTTGCTGCAGCTGCGCACTGTCCACTCATATTGAGCTTCTTTCCAGAGAGCTGCTCCCTAGCTAGGTCCATCCCAACCTGTGCTGCAGTCTTGGATTGTGCTTACTCATGTGCAAAACCTTACACTTCTCCCTGTTGAACTTCATTCGATTTTGTTAGCTCACTCTTCCAGCCTATAATAATAAGATAGAATAATCTAGACAAGCTTATTGTGCAGTGGGTCTCCCTTTTAAAGTGTCCACTTGTCTCCTCAGTTTGGTATCAGCAAACTCATCAGGACACACTTGATGCCACCTTCCGGATTACTTATGAAGATATTAAACAGCATTGGGTCCAACACTGATCCCTGGAGGACCCCACTAGTGACAGGCTGCCAGTTTGAAAAAGAGCTATTTATGACACCCTCTGGTTGTGGACAGCCAGTCAGTTCCTCACCCACCACACAGACCACTTGTCTAGATTATAACACATCAGTTTCTCTAGAAGAAGGCTGTGAGAAACCTTTCTTAGCCTTCTTCCAGTCTTCTGCAATGCCCCTCCATCTCCACAACTTCCCAAAGATTATGAAGAGCAGCCTCCCAGCGACATCAGCCAGCTCTTTTAACAGCCTCAGGTGGATATTGCCAGGGCCCATCGATTTGTAGGGGTCAAGCTCCTGTAATAGTTCCAATATGAACTCTTCCTTCACTGATGCTGGATCTGTGTTTGTATAAACCTTGGGTTTTGTTCCCAAGGCCAAATGTGCTGGTAAAGACAGAGGTGAAGAAAGTGTTGAGAATTTCTGCCTTTTTAGTGTTGTTGGTGACTTAATTCAGCTCTCCTGATTAACAGTGGGCCAATATTTTCCTACTGTTCCTGTTTGTTGTTTACGTACCTGAAGAACCTTTTCTTGTAGTTTTTAATACCTCTTGTCAGTTTCAATTCAACTTGAGGTTTTGCTTTCCTAAGTGCATCTCTGCACACCCTGGCAATGCCCTTGTAGTTCTCAACAGGTATTCATTTTTCCATATGTGGCACACTTCTCTTTTGGTTTTGAGCAGATTCAGAAGCTTGCAGTTTAGCCAAGGGGGTTTCTTGCCCCACCTATTTCCCTTATCTTGAAAGGGAACAAACTGGTTTTGTGCTTCCAATAGAGCATTCTTGAACATCTCCCAGCACTTTTGCTCCTTTATCCTCCATGGAAGCTTCCCATGGAATCCCTCCCAGCTGAGCTCTGAATGAGTTCAAGTTTGCTCTTTTAAAATCTAAAACTCTGGTCTTCATACTAACCTTCAGCATAGTCAGCCAGATCCCAAACTACTGTGATCACCACAGCTAACACTGGCACTAGCCGAGATACTACAAAGCAGCTTTTCCTGCTTTGTGAGTAGCAACTCCAGCAGTGCCTCATTCCTGGTTGGCACGTCTAACATCTTTTTGAGGAAGCAGTCCTCTAGGCATTCCAGGAACTTGATGGATGACATTTGAGCTGCTGTATTGTTCTTCCAACAATTGAGATGTTACAAGCCTTGGGGAATTTTGGGGTGCATGGACCCTGAGAAGCTTCACTGTTAAAGTACTCCACCATCCTCCCAGTCTCCACAGCCACAGCTAAGGCTGCTCCCACAGTTTGCAATCCGAGCAGTAAAGAGCAATTCTGTGTGAGTTTCAGCACCTTAAGAAAGCACATATGGGAGACATACACAAATTCACTGAAATGCACCTACCTTATTGTCAGCACAGTGTCCTACTCACAGTGTGTGCAGAAAGGTATTCTCATAGCATGAAAATAGTCGTTCTTTCTACGGCAAGGAGCCTCCATGTGCCATTTGGGACCTTTATTTCGGCACACCATCACTACTGGCACATTTACTATTGAGTTCTATATCAATGCCTTGCATAAAGGATTTTGAAGTCCAAGAAAGATGCTTGTTTTCCTCACTGCCTTTCTATACCTGGTCTGATTTTTATAAGTGCTAGTGGAAGAACTGAATAAAATTAAGCAGTAGAAGAGCTAGGTAATCCAGCAGTTTATCTAAATAAATTATTTAGTAATTTGTATTGCACTTAAGCATACACACGTCTTCCTTTGACTTATAAAAATAATAATTCTTAAATAGTAAACAGAAAAAAAGCTCAGTCAATGCTACAATTCAAGACATTTAGATTATCTTGTAAGTGTATTGTTTGCCAATGGCCTTAAGTCAAACTACAGCAGAGTTTTAAACTCCCATGGAAAGTATGCCTGCATTAAAGCTAACTACAAGAAACTTGAACAACTTGACAGCATGTGGCCATACATGAGATCACTGTGAAAAGCTGCAGTGTTTTCTTCAGTTCTTTATTTTTGTTTCCTGGGAAGTTTGAAACTGTAATTAGCAGCTTATACCCAAAGTCTGGATGTCAAGACAGCACAAACTGGAGTCCAGGAGTTGCATTAGCTCACAGTATGCAGCAAAATAACAAAATCCTATCCAAGGAGATCCAGAACACTAGAATGATGTTTAATGAAGGCTGAACAAAACTAGAGGATTGCTTCTAGAGAGGACACTACATAGGGATTTCACTTGGAAATCATAACTTCATTTTTATAGTCAAATTCTCACTCTCTTCCCTCAAGGGTATACGTGTGTGTGAAACTATTCTATTAAACAGTTTGGCATATGTAAGTTCTTAGCTAGTTCCTTTTCTGAGAGCTTTTTGTTTGCCAAGAATTTTCTGTATTTCTTGCAAGTCATTATGAGAAATGGTGTGAGAGCATCCAGCTTCTGATATTTGAAGGGTCTGAGAGTGTGTAAAAGCCATCTAAATAGAAACTAGATTTTACAAAATGTTCGCAGGAAAAAAGTTTGCTAGGTTGGGATATTTTTTGAAGATATTTTTTTCATCTATTGACTGTAAGAAAATTTTCTGTTGAAATGAGCTCGCAACTCTCTGAAAGAGTCCTATTCACCTATCCCATCTTTCTGTCCTGTAATTTGGGAAGCAAAGAAAAGCAGAAGACAGGCAGCCGGGTAGGTAACCTTGAACAATTACTTCCAAACATAGAAAGGCAGGGAAGAGAAGGGAGGAGACTAAGGGATGCCAAGGTGAATCAGCACCAGGAATGACAGAAATCTACGTTGGTGTAGACCACTGCCTTGTTTTATTTAGAAGGTTATTATTTAGCATAAGCAGTTATTTCTCTGTGCTAGTGATAAACTATTAGTTGCGGTGCTTCCTTTCTATGGGTGAAGCATGCCACTGAGAGTGTTCCACATTCAATACTTTGTGGCAAATAGCAGTAACATCCAGCAACACACTGTTAAATACTGTAACAAAATTATCCCTTCCCCAGAAAAATAAAACTTACATTTTATTCCTATTTCCTTATCTAAAGACTTAACAACTCCAGTTCACAGACATTTTTCCCCCTTAATATTTTAGATTGAGAAGAAAATAAGTAAGTGTGGGGTCCATACAAGATACTTCAGTTTTCAAGTTTAGAGACTGGAACAGGATGTGGGCGTCCTTTCAGTTACCCTTACAAAGAGATAGGGTTTGGAAAATAATATGGTAAGAAGAACCCTGAACAGATTTCATGTCTCCTTGTGTCACAATAACATATAGCTATACCCATCTCCATCTTCTAGAACTGCTACAAATACTTTTTCCCTCCTCCCCCCATCGAGTGTCATGCCAATTTATTCGCCGTCTTTCCAAGCACTGGCAGTATTAATTTATAAGGATGGAATCCTATAAATACTCTTATTCCAATTTTACCTTTGCTCTAACTACAGAGCATGCTGGTTACCTCTGCCATAGATAAAAGCTACTTACACAATGTGCAGCCAATATCCAAACACAGCCCTTATCTGTTAGAACTGAGCCACCATACTCCATTAAGCTCCAGTTAGATTACAGTTTTTAGTGTGAGGTGTCCCTGCCCATGGCACAGGGGTTGGAGCTAGGTGATATTAAGGTCCCTTTCAACCCTAACTATTCTATGATTCTATGAT